CAGCCATTGACTCGCTCATGCACCTCTTTCTCCCCTAATTCCACCTCCTTCAACACAGACTTAGATTCCCTCTATCACAGATTCACTTAAGACAGCTCTTAAGCATCCCAAGCTCTTCTAACCCACACTGAGCCCCAGACCTGACTTACTCAATGATTCCTCCCCAGTTCCCATCGCTAGGAGAAGTTGCCCACGGCAGGTGGTCTTCCACCAACACAATCTTCTTACCTTTCTCCAAAGAGCTGCTTTAGTGCTGACAGGGTGTCCGCACAGATGGCCGGTCTTTCCACGTTTGGAAAGGAGGAGAAACGCAATGGATGGAGGGGGGGAAGGAAAAAAGAATCGCAGTGATTTGTTTTTGTTCTTTCCGCAGAGGGCTCTGAACCTCATTGGCCCTGGGAGATCCACCACGTGGCATGGGATGAAGGGCACGTGACCTATTTTCTCCCAAATCCCTGGGTTTTGCTGGCAAAGGGAGAGGCGTCCCCACTGCTCATGTCCTTGTCATTCCAGTGGGCTTGGGTTTCTTTTTGGTTCGTTTTTAAAGGCCACTGAGCAAATGGGGTTGCCCCCAGGCGATGAGGGCGAACCAGCCAATGCTTTTCCAAGGGAAGGAGAAAGGAGCTGGGATCTGAGATGAGCCCATGTGCAGGGGGGAGATGTAGGGATGCTGACTGAGCCTGCACGCCCACTCCAGGGACAGAGCATCCAGGAGGTAAAGGAGGGCAACAGCAATGCACATTTGGCTGCTGGGCTTAAATCCGACAGCAGCAGCAGCAAGGACCGGGCTGAAGCCCTAATTCCTGACTCTTGGAGGAAATGGGATGCATTACAACTGCTCCATCACTGCAAAAAAAGAGATCAGCTTGTGCCCCTGTGTTGCTCCTGATTCCATCCTCTCCTGCTCTCTTATTTAATGCATGGTGGTTGCATTAACCAAGTGTCCTGCTTTGGAGGCTGCAACAGCTTTCTAGGCAGGACCCAGTGCATGGCTATGCAAGGCTTGAAGGGTGTTTCAGAACGTTACTCCCCCACCAAACCTGAACCACAGCACAGTTCTGGGGATATTCTGCCCTAGTAGGGACTATGAGGACCTACGGAGGAAGGCAAGATAAGCCACAGGGTCTGACTGACTGGCAATGAGGGTCCCTCCCTCCCAACTCTGTATTTCCCAAGGGACAGCAGCTCTGAGCCACCAGGGCCAAGAAGCTCATGGCCTTCCCTTGGTAACTGCAGGTACCAGTCCATCAGTGTCAGGACACTCAGGCTGGGGAATGGAAAAGTTGTATTTGGAGCCTAAGACATCCTCTTGTTTTTCCCATCACAGCTCAAGCCTATAGGTTGCACCAGTCAGAAGTGGAGAAGCCATCTCCAGCCATCCTATCATTGAAGAGCTCGAGCCATTCCTATCTAAAGGTAACACTTAAGGCTCCTTGAAGAACCAGCTGAGCTTGGGCTTTGGTGAAAAAGAACAGCTCTGGCCTCCTTTGTGCCTTCTTGGAATCACTGAATCATCATAGAATCATTGAATCACAGCATCGTAGAAAGGTTTGGGTTTGAACGGACCTTAAAGCTTATCCAGTTCCAACCCCCTGCCATGGGCAGGGGCACCTTGCACTACAGCAGGTTGCTCCAAGCCATATCCCAACCCAGCACTGCTGGTTCTTCCCTGTGGCTGCTCCCCTGCACACAGCTCTGCTCAGGGATGGGAAGCATCAGGAGCTCAGTCCCAAGCCTTTCTCAAGGCCAGACCGTATCACCATGCTGTTCAGACAGAAGAGCCATAAAATACCCCAAACATCATAGAGAAGTGCAAGGTTTCACTTGAAACCCTCTCTGTATGGGAGGTTTGCACTTTTCCAGCCACCACCCAAGCAAGTGGGGCATTTCATCCCAACAAAGTACAAACTGAGGGAGGAGAAACTTCCCATGCTCAAACCCAAGCTATGGACACAGCCAAAAGCATTCAAGCTCACTGTTTTCCCCTCCCACGTTAGGCAATGGCCAAAGGGAGAGAAGAATCCCCCCACCTTCCGTCCCCATAGCTCACCGCCTTCCCCAGTGCTGCCCAGCTAAATCTGGCTCCTCAGTAATCTTCTGCATAATTATATAATAGAGAGGCAGGTGGAGGAATGATTTTAGGCAGAAAGCAAGCTGGATTAAAAGATCAGAACCAGCAATACTGAGATTAAAATGGTTTGTTATTTTCAGCTGCTGGAAATCTGTGGCTAAAGCCACAGAAGATGGGGAGGGAAGGTGCAGCATCTTTCTTTCTGCCCCAAAACCAAGCTTTCTACGAGTTCTAGGTTTCCAACCTGTGCTCAGGTTTGGCTTCCCAACACATTTTAGCCAAAGACTTAAAAACAACATGGAGATGCTTCAAGATCCATTTTGCCCTGTGAGCCAAGCCCGAATTAAACCCCATCAATGCATTGCTGCTTGTTAATACATCCTTGACTCAATGAGTCAGCGTGTGGCTGGGCGCATCATTACCTATGAGAAACATGCCTCCTGGCACACAGCATGGAATCATGGAATCAGCCAGGTTGGAAAAGACCTTTATTATCATCCCCAGCACTGCCAAGGCCACCACTAACCCATGGCACTGAGGCCTCGTCTCCACGGTGTGTGAGCACTTGCAGGGACGGTGACTCCAGCCCTGCCCTGGGCAGCCTGTTCCAATGCCTGAGCACCCTGTGGGGAAGGAATTGTTCCTCAGCTCCATCTAAACCTACCCTGGTGCAGCTTGAGGTCGTTTCCTCTTGTCCCGTTCCTTGGGAGCAGAGCCCAGCCCCTCCTGGCTTCATCCTCCTTTACCAGTACCAACACCCCAGCATGTGCCTCCCCGCACCCCCAAGCTGATGGCAGGGAGATGCTTACCGGAGAGGCAGCCACAGCTGGGAGAAGCCCATCAGACAGCAGGACAGCTCTCTGCAGGCACCTATATGGTGTCCCCCTGGCCCCCAGCAAGGTCGGTGGCCTGGGGTGCCGTGCTCTGACTGATCTCTCTGGAAAGGCGTGAAGGGGAGGGCAGGGATAGGACAGTGGGAAAGGGAGCGGACACTGGGGGCCAAGCTCATCACCCACATCCAGGATCGATGCTGCTGCTCATTCACCTTCATGTTCCTATTAAGCAGAAGGGTCAAGCTGGGAAATCATTTGCCACTAGTAGGCACGTCCCCATCACCCACCCTCCATTCCCTCCCCTCCATAGACTTGTGTTGCAATCATAGAGGCACAGAATCAACCAGGCTGGAATGGACCTTCAAGATCATCAAGTCCAACCTAATGGACTTAACCCAGTGCTGCCAAGGCCACCACTAACCCACGTCAAAGCCTCTATCCCGCGGAAAGAGGTGTCTCCTCCATGGATGCTTCCCACCAGAGCACCTTGCTAACTCCAAACCTTTTCAGGCTATCCTGGATCACTCATGGCATTGCCGGATGTGAGATGGAGCAGCAGTTTCCCAGTGCCAAGTGGTCTCCAAAGTCCTCTTCCAGGACTATTGTATAGGAAATCTATGGGGTTCCTCACACCCAAAGATTTCCTATGCAACAGTCACAGTACTACATGCACAGGATCAACTCTGCCTTCAAAGGATGAAATCCCATGGTGCAAAACACAGCCTTGAAGAGGACTAAGCATTTAGAACCAACACACCACCTTGCTTTGCTTTGAGAAAGAAGCTGCTGGCTTGCACAGACCCCAGGCTGCTGTCCTACGTATGGATGTGGGAACAGGGCTGGGAGAAAGGATGGGATATTGGACTGGAGCATGGGAAGGCAGAAAAATGAAGACACGTTCCTGGTGGGGATGTTGTAATGTTTATCAAAGTGATGCGTCAATAACCACTTATTGCAGGAAAGCACCTTCACTAAGAGAAGAGAACAGAGTTGTCGGACAGACTGGGGTCAGGAGCACTTGTAGGAGGACAGTTTGGGGACATGGTCTCAGGCTGGACACTCAGCTTCCCCAGAAAGGACATGTCCTGGCTTTCTTGGGCTTTGCAATAGGGATCCTATCCCCAAGACCTGCTGCACTCAGGGAGATGCAGCAGGGAAGAGACAGGGCCCTCTAGGGATGTGCTCCTAAACGCATCCTTCCTTCAGCTCATGGCTACAAAGCCATTCTCCACCCCCCAAAACAACCCTTTAGAGGTGGATATATCTCTCAGGAGCTGCCCATAGCACATTGGAGCTGCAGACAGTGGCCTTAGATGATGCATACTCAAGACCAGGCATAACCAGTACCCATCACACCTCACCACTGATCACAGACAGACCTCTAAGTAGGCTGTGGGACAAGTTCTACTCCTGCTGCACTGTATTGAGTTACCTGAAGCCTCCATCCCCTTACCCAAAAGGCACCATGTTGTTACAGGGACAGGCCGTTGCTCTGGTCGGGCTCTCCCAGCATTTTACATGATGAAAACAGGGATTAGCGACACTTGGAAAAGGAAAGAGAAAGAAGAGAGGTGGATTTGTCTGTGACTGAAACATTGCTGCTTTATGGAGCTGTCTTCTCACTCGGAGATGCGCCTCCTCTTCTTCACTAATGGAAAATGCTGCCCCGCTGTCCATTTGTGATAGTCAATGCCTGGGACAACACAATGGCCCCAGGCCAAAGCAGATCTATTTTAGTAACAAAAGCAAGAATGGCTCATGGAAACGACCCCGCCTGTGCACTTCCCAACTGAGCTACTTGGCTTGGTTTTAATGGACCCTTATTGCATGCAGAAAGCAGGTGGCCAAGTGCAATGAGGGCAGTGGCAGCAATAGGAGACCTGCATGGATGCAGAGGCCCCAGCCTCTCATCGAATCCCTGTGAGCAGCATTGCAGGGAGCAAAACCCCCTTCCATATAGAGCCACGTCCCTGCAGTGCAGCAGTTCCTCTCTCTGCAGAGCCCAGCCACATCCTCGCTGTGGTTTATAGCCCAAGGGAGAGCACAGTGCAGAAGACATCCCCCAAAACCAGGATGTGGGAAGCGATTGAGCTCACCTTACCTTACCCTGCAGGCTGGCCTGGAGCTCCAGAGTGATTCCTCAGAGGATCCAGTTGCACCAGAAACGGGCATTGCTGAGCACAGGATGGAAATGGGTGGTCCACAGCAGAAGCCTGCAGAGCAGGATGGGGTAGAGGTTAGGCACACAGGGAGGAAGTACACCCAATGGATGCTTTTCACCCAGAATAAGAGAATTTCAGAGGGAAAGGGAACATAGCTTGAGTTGGAAGGGACAAAAGGATGGGGAGCATCACATCCAGGCTGTTACAGGGCAGGCAGCAAAGCCCTGTCTATGCTTTTCTCTGCGTGCAGAGCAGGTTGGGCAGGTCCTACCCCAGCATCCCTGAACAAGGGAAGCCATCCAAAGAGCTGGGCTGTGAAGGGTCATAGAATTATAGAATGATTAGGGGTGAAGGGACCTTAAAGCACATCCAGTATCAAACCCTGCCACAGGCAGGGACACCTTCCACTAGAGCAGGTTGCTCCAAGCCCCTGTGTCCAACCTGGCCTTGAACACTGCCAGGGATGGGGCAGCCACAGCCTCTCTGGGCACCCTGTGCCAGCGCCTCAGCACCCTCACAGGGAAGAGCTTCTTCCTGAGAGCTCATCTCAATCTCCCCTGTTCTGGCAGGTTAAAGTCATTCCCCTTGTCCTGTCGCTACAGGCCCTTGTCCAAAGCCCCTCTCCAGGTTTCCTGCAGCCCCTTTAGGCACTGGAGCTGCTCTAAGGTCTCCCCTTAAGGAGTCTTCTCTTCTCCAGGCTGAACCACCCCAACTCTCTCAGCCTTTCACCCAGAAATGAAGCTGCAATGGGAATAATCCCGCACATTCCAGTGGCATTGGGCGCCAGGTTATTTGTATTGCTCTCTTTTTGCTGCTGCTCCCTATAAGTTAACTGGGGCATGCATTACCCATCAATAACATCCACCGAGCAGCCTGAGCCATTAATAAGCCAAGTGCCAGAGGGCACAAAAGCCTCTCCATAACCAAAATACCTGGGTGAGCTGCAGGCCCCACTCATTGCTTGGACTTGGAGCTGCTCTGGATGTGCTGGGGCAGGCTGTGTGTGCCAAGGGGGAATCTTCCTCTTCCCAATGACTCATCGAGAGCCAGGCTCATCCCCAGTGACCCGGGCACCCGGAGATGACGGCCATGGGAAGGAGCCTATCTGCAGGAGGGGAGCCCATGGAACTCCCCGAGGTCAGGCTTCAGTCCCACCTGCTGCTCACAGCAGCATCAGCACTAAGATCAGAGCAGGATGCTCAGGGATGCATCCTTTTGGAGCTTGAAAGCCTCCAAGGATGGAGACTACACAGCCCCTCCAAGCAACCAACTGTCCTCGGAATGAATGCTTTTTCCCTTATAAGACCCTATATGTTTCTCTGAAGGGAAGCCATGTCCCCAAAGGAGTGGCTGCATTGCCAGCTGGTGTCACCTACAAGAAGGACAGGTCTCAAAATGGATCCTGAGGAACTCCACTACGCAAGCAAAGTAAATGTCGAATCCCACTGTCCCAATCATAACAGACAGAGAGTGAACAAAAACAAGCCCCAAACCAGCCAAAAAAGATGGGAAATCCAAACTGCATCTCACATTTGGAGGAGCAGAGGGAGTAGTTTGGGATACAGTGCAGGCAGCAGGGAAGGACCTGGAAGCTCTCTGCACCCTGGGATGCCCAGCCAGCCCCCCACCACCTTAAAACCAGCAAGAGCATCCTCCCAGCACTGCTGTTGTGACTGAATTCCAGGCAGCAGGGAAACACAAGGGCAAAACAGCCCCAAGCAAAGGAATCCTTAGTAATGGTTTGTTTCCATGCCCATCAGCACAAACTCCTGGTCACCGAGTCCAGCATTGAGAAAAAGACAGACACCCCTCCCCCCCCGACCATGGCATCATGTGTGTATTTTGATAGACAGGAACAAGGGGGCTCAGACATGGATTCATAGAATCATAACATGGTTTGGGTTGGAAGGGACCTTAAAGCTCATCCAGTTCTAATGCCCTGAGGAACTGGGCACCTTCCACTATGGCAGGGGGTTGGAACTGGATGAGCTTTAAGCTCCCTTCAACCCAAACCAGTCTGGAATTCTATGATTCTATGATTCTCTTGCTTTGCTGCAACCCCATAGGGAAAACACAAGCTCTTTGGGAAAACTCACTGTGCAGCTGGTGAGGGATACACTAGACGGGATGGGGATGTTTGCCCACTGCATCACCGCATCCCTGAGCTGCGGTACACCTTTGAGATGGGAACCTCAGCAAGATGGTTCCATCTGTATTGTATCCCCAGCCCCATTCTTTTAGTCAGGCTGCTGCTCTGCTGCTTTGGGGTTTTCAGTGCTGCCGCTCGTGGTGCAGGGGAGAGAAGGCTCCTTCCCTAGCCCGTGTTCCCATCATCCGCATTACTGAGTGTTTTATGCAGACAGAGGCAATGATTTTAATGTCCCAGTGAACAAGCAGTCGGGACGCATCAGCCTCAAAGGGCAGACTTCAGAGATGGCTTCTCCTCCCAGGCACTGCCTAGGCAAGGAAAACCAGTTCCAGCTCTGCACATACACACATCACGTGCGTGCCAGCACTGCCTGTGATTTTCCAGCCTTCAACAAGACACCCTTCAAACCCCCATTCCTCAAGAGCAGGGTGAGCCCGAGTTTGGGGGGCTGTAGATGGGCACAGCCGTGGGGCAGGCAGGGGGGCAGCCCCATGGGCAGGAGCATGATGTGATGGGACCTGAGCGCCCATCAAGAGATGAGCTGAGAAAAGCCATGAGCAGAACTGACATCTGCCCCCTGGGCAGGTACGTAATGAGCAGAGACATTGTCCATTTGGGGAGAGAAGGTAAAGATAAGAGATTCCCAAGCTGACACGTGGCTGCCTCCATCGGTATTCCTTGTAAGGGATGGGGAACACAGGGCAGTGGGTCCCATCATGGGCAGTGGGTGAGTGGGATGGGGACAGCATCATTGTCTCAGCATCTCACTTGTGCTGCCTGGAGCTCCCCTCTTTATTATCCCTGGGAACATCCCTATAGGATCTGGGGGGGTCCCACATGTCCCCATGTCTGATGAAAAGGGACAAAGGGGGAGCATGGTCCTGGGTCCAGTGGCACATCAGACCTGCTCTTGGCCAGGATACGGGCACAGGCAAAGGCTCCCATGTCCTGTGGTCCATAAACCATCACCCCTCGTGCTGCTTCCATGAACCTAGTCTAGTCAGTCCCTATAAACCCAGCCTCCATAGCCCACCTGTCATCAGCTCTTCCCTAACTTCCCTCCAGTCTCCCTGCTATCCACCACCTTCGACTGGTGTCTGCTGGTAACACAGGAGCAACAGAGCGGGAGAAGGGAGAGACCCACATCACCCCTTGGTTTTCCCCTTTGGAAAACCTGGCTCTAAAAGCACAAGTGAGACAGCAAACTCCTCCTGTTTACCCTTGCTTACCCATAAAAGCCTGGAAAGAACTTTGTGGTACTTCTGGGAAAGCCCATATTGAGATGCTTTCCTTCCATGTCTCCCTGCCTGCTTTTCCAAAGGCAATCATAAAATCATCAAATCCCAGCCTGGTTTGGATTCAAAGGGACCTTAAAGTTCACCCAGTTCCAACTCCCTGCCTCTGTTTAAGTCACTTTGGGGCCATCCTAGGTGGAAGGGGAGGTCCAGAAATGCCCAACACAGGATGCCCTGGACCAAAGACATCATCTGGGGCACAGGAACATCCCAGCACCCGATGACCTGCTGGCCCGGAGCAGATGGAGCGGCTGCAAATCCCCCTGTAAGCTAGGGAAGGGGAATAATCTCCTAGAGGACAAATCAGCTGCAAGGGGGGAAACCCAGTATCCTGCCTTTTCCTTCCTCTTCCAGCAGATGCCAGCAGCATCCAGCATCCCTGCAGGGACCGCAGCATCCCTGAGGGTGGAGAAGGTAGGGCCTGGGTCTTGGGTACCTGGTGGAGACTGGTTTTGGGACAAGCAGGCTCTTCATTTAGGTGGCAAGAAGTCCTTGGTGGGCTTAGAAGGCATTGGGAGCAGCCAGCAGAATGAGATGCACCATTTACAGTGGAATCTCTGGTACGTCCTTGCCTATGGGGAAGGATGGGGATTAGGTCCATTGGACTGGGCCAGTTTAGGTCCTCAGGATGGGATTTGGAGAACCGAATGTGCGCTCTGCAACACCCAGACATCACTAAAAGATGTGATGCACTGATGATGTTTAAAGGTCTTTTCCAGCCTAGATGATTCTATGAGTCTATGGCAAAGCACCAGAGCCAGAGCTCAGCCCTTAGCAACAGACATCACCCATGGCCAAGCCTAACCTCTGCCTTTCAGAAGGGTGTTTGTACCCAAAAGCCCCCAAAGCAGAGGTGAGCCCAAGGAGACCCAGAGTGTGCGGAGCCCAGTCCTGCTCATGGGGCCATTCCCAAACAGCCAACCCTCTCTAATCCATTTTCCTTCTGCTCCAGAGGCAAGGAGCTCAGCAGATCTGGTGCAAATCTCTGTGGCAGGGATTGTTGTTGATGACAGGCACGCTAACCCTCAGGAACGGTTGGGAAGAGGAGGCTGCAAGCCAGGGGAAGGATGGAGACCATACAGGCTGGGGCACCTGGGCATGGATTGCATCCTGGTCCCCTGATGGTGGCGCATGGATGGCCAGCAGAGCCTGGATGAGGTGTAACACACATTACCTGAGATTCATAGGATCAACCACGTTGGAAAAGACCTTCAAGCCCATCCAGTCCAACCATTTCCCAGCACTGCCAAGGCCACCATGGGGCAACTGTCCCATACAGGGAAGGGCTTCTGGATCTCCTCTCTATAGCTGCTCAAAGCATTCCCTTCATGTTATCACTCCAATAAAAGCCTTTAAATAGTACTTTGTTCTCCATCTTTGAAGGCCAGAGACACAAAGCAAGCCAGAGTGTGAGTGACTCCCTCTGCTTCAGCTCCTGCCCCAAGCAGGGCCATTCCAGAGATGAATTCCAACCTGAAACCTCCACATCCCATTATTTCCAAGCCTTCCATTCTTTCCCCTGCTCTCCCATAACACATAAAAGGGTGAAGACAGTCATTTCAGGCACTGAAGCCTGGATGCCCTCACCCACTGCCATCACCAAGAGGTCTCCTTCCTATCATCTCAGGGATAAGTCAGCATCACTCTGGGCACCCCTGGACCTACGGTGCAAAAGCATTCCCCAAACAACGGGCCCTGTTGAAGGGGACTGGCTGCCCAGCAGCAAGGATGCTGGTGCAAAATGTCATAACCAGGAATGTGCACCTGTGACATGGGAGGACTTGGGGGGCAGAGCCTATGCCATGGTGCGTTTGCACACGGTGGTAACCCACAGCAGCACTCCCAGCCCCACATTGGCTGTGGACTGGGTTGGAATGGACCTTAAAGCTCATCCTCACATGGAAGAGCTTCTGCCTAAGAGCTCATCTCAGTCTCCCCTGTTCTGGCAGGTTAAAGCTATTCCCCTTGTCCTGTCCCTACAGGCCCTTGATCCAAAGCCCCTCTCCAGGTTTCCTGCAGCCCCTTTAGGCACTGGAGATGCTCTGAGGTCTCCCCTTAAGGAGCCTTTTCCTCCTTCTCCAGGATGTCCTGGTGCTGGTTGCTCCCCCTGTGCCCACCACAGCAGGACCACATCCTGGGGACACCCATTTAGGCACTTCAGCATTACACAGCGCCAGAGATGCCACCACCCCAATTCCCTAAGGACAAACGGGAATTGCTTGGAAGCAGCTTTTCTCAATCTGGGGCCATCCAGGACACTTGAATTTTCCCAAACCCCATCACCTTGTGCTGGGAATGTCAGGACAAGAGGGTTTTGCTCCTCGGTGGCAGAGATTCCTGAGTCATCCTCCAGCCCATGCCCTTGAAATGGAGCCAAAAAAGCTTTTACCCAAAGTAGGCAGCAATCAGGATACCAGATCTGGAGCTCCAGGTTTAACCCCTTCCTAGGAGATGCTGGGTTGGTTGCTCTTGCATGCAGACCCTCTTTCCCTCTCCTCAGTGAAGGCTTCCCCCCTCCCCCCCGAGTTTTGGCGTTCAACAAAGGGAAGACGCAATTGAAAACATAATTCAGAAGCACTTTGAGCATCCCTCAACTACCTCCCAGCGGGCTCTGGCAGTGGTTTCAGCATCTGCATCCTTGGCCACCAGACAGGGGTTTGCCTCTTGCATCCTCCCACAGGCCACTGTGGAAATGCTCCTAGAAAGCACGGATTAGGTGATGGAGACTTTGGGCGTTGCTTTACCTCCAATGGGGCTCTCCATCCCCAGACCTACACCTGGAGATGGTCTGCATTAGGTGCTGCCCTCCATCCCCTCCACTTCTGGGAACCCATGTCCACCTCCCAAACCCTGGCACAGGGTCCCACCAGGACCATCATTCCCTCGCTATTGCATCCCTTGGGATGCAGACTCTACCTTCTCCTGCAAGGACAGAGAACACGAACCGTCCACAGCCAGGAAAGCCTGGAATGAAGCACCCAGCTTCTGCCCCACACCCCTGCACCACGGAACCCTATGGGGCACCACAGCCCTGGAGGTGGCTGCCCTGCAGTGCTCTGTGCAATGGCCATGCAGCATCTGCTCTGAGGTGGGGATGCTCTGCAGCACTGAGGCCACTGCAGGATGCTCCTCACAGCATTAGGCTGCTACAAGGACGCATTTTCCACCCTCATCCTCCCCAGGATGGGTTAGCAAAGCCCCACATAGACTCCAGGAGGAACTTACTGCAAGGAGCTGGGCAGTAAATGCTGCCCCAGTAAAAAGCCAAATAGACCAAACAGGGGTGATGGTAGGCACATGCTGATGAGCCAGCCGCATTTCAGAGGGAGAACAAAAAGGTCCCAGCTGGGTAAATGAGCTCCCAGGAGACGATTCACCCACCTGTGGGGGAAGCTTGGAGACTCCACAAAAAAGGCCTGAGCCCCCTTCCTCCCCTTGGCATTGATGCTGGGGCTGCATCTGGCCCATAAGCTGCTCAGGAACAACCACCAGAGCAGTCCCAGTGGGATGCTCACACCCAAACCCCACCATCCAAAAGCCATAACCCAGGGCTCACCCTCCGCAGCATCCTGCCCATCACTCATACACCCATGCTGGACCAGTCACCCCACTTGGGGACCCCCTTTGTGGTGCCAGGACACCACTCTGGGGCTTGTTTGGGCTGAGAAACTTGGAGCCAAGCAGCATCAGGGTACGCGATGGAAAACTCTTGAGCAGCCTCATAAGGAACTCGGGGGGGGGGGAGCCCTAGGGACAGGAAAAGGGGGGATCCCACTGTGTCCCCCGCGATGCCACCACCACCACCCCCGAGTGGGGGACACGGCACCTCCCACCCGACGGATGGGTCGAGGGCAGCTCCGACAGCCCGGTCCCGACAAACAACGCGAAGGGAAGCAAACAACGCCCCAGGGAAGGCAGAGCCCTACCTGTGCCCGGACGGACGGCGAGAAGGGCTGTGGGGAGCAAAGAGGGATCGGCCAGGGGCAAGCAATACCAGAGGAGACGAGCGGATGTGCCCTGCCCAGCCCCCCGGCTCTGCCCGGCCCCCTCCGGCTCTGCCCGGCCCCCTCCCGCTCTGCCCGGCCCCCTCCCGCTCTGCCCGACCCACCCGGCTCTGCCCCTTCCCTTCCCTTCCTTGACCAAGCCCCAGTTCTTGCCCCTGATCCTAGGTCTACCCCAGCTCCTGCCCCTGTCCCATACCTTGCCCGTGCATCTGCCCATATCGCAGACCCTGCTCAAGCCCCTTACCCAGCACCAGCATCATCATCAGACGTTCACAGTGCACCAGCTCCTGCCCTTGCCTCCTACCCAGTCCCTTCTCCTGCCCCAGCCTCCCCCTGCTACAGCCCCTGCTTCTGTTCCTTCCTGCTCCTATCCAGCCCCTTCTTCTGCCCCTGCCTCTGCCCTGCCCCTCTCCAGCCCCTTCCCCTGCTCCAGTTCCTGCCCCTTCTCCCGTCCTGCCCCTATCCAGCTCCTTCCGCTGCCCCAGTTCCTGCCCCGGCTCCTGACTCTGCCCCTGCCTCTGCCCTGCCCCAGTTCTTGCCCCTTCTCCTGCCCTGCCCCTATCCAGCTCCTCCCCCTGCCCCAGTTCCTGCCCCTGCTCTTGTCTCTGCCCCTCTCCAGCCCCTTCCCCTGCCCCATCTCCAGCCCCAAGCCCCAGCATCCAGGCACTGGAGGATGCCACCCCTTGGGCTTGGGGGGTTGCTCTCCCCATGTGAGCCCTGTGCTGCCAGCACCCTGCCCTCTGCACAAATGCATCTGCCTGCCTGGCCCTGGCACCCTTGGGTGCGATCCCAAGCTGGGGGAGCCTGCTCAGGGACTGGGGCTGGTAGCAGCAGCATCACTTTGTCAAGGGACACGCACTGGGGTGGGTGCATGGGGGTCCCAGTGTCCCCAGACACACCCTGGGGTGCTCCTGCTGCATGTAAGGAGGCTGCCACTGTCCTGGCATGGAAAGACAAGGTCCCAAACACAGGCAGGGGGTATATGGTGGGCACGGAGAGCCTATGGACACATGTGCTGTGATCTTGCCATCCTCCCCAGGACTGGTCTCCTCTCCTGGGAGAAAACTGCTTTGGGGATCAAACATGCCATCATTTAACACAGGACTTGGTATGTCTCCATCCCCAATAACACTCCCTGGCTCTATCCGTTTGGGTGAGAAAAGGAGGGAAACTCCAAGTGTAATAAACGCTGCTGCAGGCTCTGCCACGCTGTTTTGGTGCTAAGCACCAAAGGGGCTCGATGGGGTGGGAAGACGCCAGACTGCACCCCTCCCAGCCCTGGATGGGAAGGGCTTGTGATGATCCCTGGATATCCTGGATCCCGCTGCCACACTGGAGGCAGCAGCACATCAATATTTCAGCGGAGTTTCCGAGCCCTGTCAGGTTGCATTTGCTTCCAGCAGGATGAGTGCTGGAACAGGGGGTGGAGAGAAGATGCTCTCAGATGTGATGATGAGCCCTGCACCAGCTCCAGGGCCCGATCCTTCTTTTCCCTGTACGGATGCTGTTCCGTCTGGGACCGGTGCAGGTCCGTGCTTTAATCCCCGTTGTAAAACATGTGGAGAGGGGGTGATGTAAGAATAAATACAAGCCACTTGGGGCAGCAGGGCATTAAATCACAGCGGGGAGGCCAACGTGGATGGACGCGAAAGCGAGAGGTGCACACAACCCAGAGGCCACTGTGGATGGGCGGAGAAGTAACCCCCGGCTCGGAGGGGAGGGGTTTCTCCCTTACCCCCCCTCCATGTGTCGGATACACAGGCACACGCGGAGAGCGTTGGCGCTGCCCTACAGGGGCTGGCCGGGCTCCGGCTCCTCCTCCTCCTCTCCGTCGTCCTCCTCTTCCTCCTCCCCTTCCTCCTGCCCGCTGCACTGTGGAGATTGTAGTCCCCGCGCTGCCCCGCGCTCGGGGCACGGCCACGTTTTCTGAGTCCCCCCCATTCCCTCCGACATCCTCCTCCTCTTCCTCCTCCTCCTCCTCCTCGCTGCGGATCCGGCTCTCAGCAGGACCATAGGGAGCCACGAGACCCCCTGCGCCGTGCCCGGGCCCGCCGCTTCCATGCCCACTGCCCCCCAGGTACGGCCCCGGGGGCTGCGGGGGTACGGGGTGCTGCGGTACCCGCTGTGCTGCAGTACCCGGGTACCTGCGGGGATGCGGGTGCCCACCGGCTGCCGCTCGGGATGTGGGGTGCCCCCACGGTCCCCCTCTTTCATGTGTACCCCTATCCCTTCTTGAAGGAGCAGGGTGTTGGGCGCGGTGAGGATGCAGAGAAGTGCCCACACAGTGGATGAGGATGTATTCTGGGGAGATTCCCACTTTGTTTTATGGACCAAAACACCCCCATCGCCTCAGTGGCTTCTCCACTATATATATCACGCTTTAGCGGTGCCACCAACATGTGGCTATGGGGAGAGCATGCCCCTATGTCCCCCCTTTTGGTCCTGTTCCCTCTGTCCCTCGGTGGCTTTGGCTCCTGTGGGGAGCTGTGCCGGAGCTCGTGGCCGCGGGTTGACAAGCGCATGATGGCGATCCCTTGTCAAGGTCACAGCATGATAACCCAGCGGTCAGGTTCACACTGCCCGTGCCCTGCACCCTCTGCTCGGGAGCGAGAACAGCACCGAGCCGGGAGCGTCCCTTGGGATCTGCACCCGCTTCCCTGGGAGCAGCGGATGGGTCAGAGGGATGGGTCTGGATGGATGGGTTCGGGGCTTGGGGTACCTGCATGTGCACGGACACACGTGCCGTGAGTTCAGAGCCAGCCCCCCAGGGGATGGTGGCACCAGGGCACTCACACAGAACTGGCTTTAGGGCACATGGTTTCCTTTGGGTCAGGGAAACATCCATCCCACATGGATGTGAAAGGAAATGGGGAGCAGTTTGGAGTGGAAGGTAGACAACAGCCCATTGGGATCCCATTGCATGAACCCCCCCCCCCCCCCCTTCCTTCCCGAGAGTCTCTGCTGGAGATGGCGATCACTCACATCCGAGCAGGATAAGTGGGAATGGGGCATAGTCCAGGAGGGCACAGTGCAGGGCTGGGGTGGGCGTTCAGTGGGGGCTTAGCCATTGCTCCTTGCTCTTCCTGGCACAGAGTCCCTTCCAGCACCAGCAAGCACCCAATAAGCCTTGTAGCCCAGGGACCTATTTAAGGGTTATTTACCCCCCTATTTTGCCTGGCTGTGAGCTTGTTTTGGCAATGCTTACATGCTGAAATCCCATGGGAATGCCACTGGAGCAGTGAGTCCTCACAGGCACCCTGCTTCCTGCTGCTGGTTCTGATCGTGGCCAGCTTTTCCCAGCTTTCTCCCACCTCTTCTCTTCTCCCCATTAGTTGCTTGTGTTATGTGGAAGGGGGTTCTCATCACGCAGGATGGCAGTGGTAGGGGCGTGGGCTGGGACCATGGACTTGTTATTTAATGGCCATGATTAGTTGCTCTGCAATCAGAAGGGTCATTGGGTTTCTAGACCTTGCTCCCATGGCGTGGATTGGCACACAGGGATTTTATGGCTCAAAAAGCAGTTGTGGGAGTAGGGAGCACGTAGGAGGACGCCCAGTCCCTGCCTTCATCCCGTGACCACTGATCAGGCCTCCCCGGCACTGCCAGCTTTCCTATGGATAAATCTTAGGATTTAAGCATTTAATCCCCCTCCAGATCATGAACCTTTGTGGCGCTTTGCATCCTCCCCACACTGGGTGATGCTGTGTGAGCACTGCATCCCACCAGGGGAGAACAAAGGGGCAGCCACAAGCCTATGGTGTCTAACACGGGTGGCCCCATACCCAGTGTGCACATGAACTCACTTTCACAACCAGCACCATCTCCCTCCGGAGCACCCCTGGCGCAGGGTATCTGCATCCCTCCACCTCTGGGTCTGCAACTCTGCTTCAGAGAGGGGGTAAACCCCAACTCACTGACTCCTAAAGGGGAGGAGAAGATGATGGGAGCCGAGGAAGCAAACCCACGTGCTTCCTGCATCCAGGCTCTTTGAGAGGAGGTGCCCAAATGCTGCCTGAAACAGGCCCCCCCATCTTTCCTCTTTTCCGCTTGCAAGAACTTGCAAGAACTTGTAAGCCTGCTTTTCCTCTTGCAAGAACATCTCCTGGGGAGAAGGTAGTGCTGTTTATTTGCCTTGTGATTATAGAGGAATTTGAGCCTGTGCCAAAGGCTGCTTTCTCCGCAGGAACTGCAGCGACGTGGCTTTCGATGCATCGGAGCGCGCCTGCAATGGGCTGCCCACAAAGCTCATCTAGCTGATGGTCCCCGGGATAACACCGCTGTCCTGCTGCAGAGCTGGTGGAGCCATGCCCAAGAAGGATGAGGATGCCAAAAAGCCGGCATCGGAGGCTGCACCGGACCAGCATTGGAAGCTACAAGTCTTCTACCTCTGCTTCTATGGCTTCATGACACAGATACGGCCTGGGGAGAGCTTCATCACCCCCTATCTCTTGGGGCCTGATAAGAACTTCACACAGGCAGAGGTGAGCCACAGATAGCCTGTTCCCCTTTGGTGTCCCCCCTTTCATTACCCTGGGGCTGGCCAGAGCATCCTCCTGTGGTCCTGGGGTGCAGAGGGGTGCCACATTCCAGGCAATGGGGCATGCGCTGGGGATGGAGGTGAGAGAAGGTGATGTGGTATGGGTCTGGCTGGCAGCATGTCCCTGTGCCACCATTCTGCAAGGGAGCCCTGTGCCACCACACTGCAAGGGAACCTTGACCCTTAAGTCCCAAGCTCAACTTTCCCCAGTATTAAAAGCCTTGTCCCCAGGCTCCCAACCAGTTATGGGGGGAGATGCTAAATCCCTATCCCATTAAGGGAGACCCTCCCATGCTGGTGCACATTTGGGGACACAGAGCTGAGCACTGCTGAGCTGATGGCAATGATGGGGTTAGATGAGGAGGGGCCCCATGCTGTTGTCCCCTGACCAGGGGATGCTGGCTCCGGTCCCAGCAGGCTGCTGTGTCCGTGGGAACTCCACGTTCCCAAGCATGGAAGGGGGCCAAGTCTTAGCCATGCACCCAGCTGAGAGCTCCAGGAACCACATTCCTTACAGAGGAGGGGGGTCAGTGGCTTGTTCCTGTGCTGGGGATGTCATGGCCATGCTCATCCCCTCCTTGCACATTGCAGGTGACCAACGTGATCACACCGGTGCTGACCTATTCCTACATGGCTGTGCTGGTACCCACCTTCCTATTGACGGACTACTTGCGCTACAAGCCGGTGCTGGTGCTGCAGAGCCTGAGCCACATCTCCATCTGGCTGCTGCTGGTGTTGGGTACCTCTGTCCTGGCCATGCAGCTGATGGAGTTCTTCTACGGCATCACTATGGCCGCCCGCATCGCCTACTCCTCCTACATCTTCTCCCTCGTCGCTCCATCCCGCTACCAGCGTATGGCCAGCTATTCCCGCTCCGCTGTCCTCCTGGGTGTCTTCACCAGCTCGGTGCTGGGCCAGCTCTGCATCAGCTTGGGCAATGTCTCCTTCCTCAGCCTCAACTACGTCTCCTTGGTCTTCGTCAGCTTTGGCTTCATCCTCACCCTCTTCCTCAAGCAGCCCCGCCGCAGCCTCTTCTTCAATCGTCCTGATAGGGCTGTGGATGGGGCTGCACCCACTGAGATGGACAAGATGGCAGGGGGGGATGGTGGCAGGGGGACAAAGGGATGGAGGGACATTGCACTGTGCCGGATGCTGCGGGAGGTGGGAGCGCTGGCCAAGCAGCCCCAGCTTCGGCTCTGGTCCTTGTGGTGGGTCTTCAACTCGGCTGGTTACTACCTGATGCTGTACTACGTGCAGATCCTCTGGAATGAGATCTACCCGGCCACGGACAACCGCCGTGTGTACAATGGAGGGGTGGATGCTGCATCCACGCTGCTGGGTAATGCTTGCATTGTTAGGGACAGTGCGGGATGTGTGGCAATGCTGGGGGGGACTCCACTGTCCTGCTGCATCCCTGGGAATGGCAGGTCTTCATGGCGTTTTGGGGGTGTTTTGATAGAGGTAATAGGGTGAGCATCATTAGGCTGGGGGATGTAAGGTGGTCCCATGCTGGTGAGGTGTTTACAGCATCCTTCATCCTCTCTCCAGGGGCTGTTGCCTCCTTCGCTGCTGGCTACTTGAAGATCCGCTGGACACTGTGGTCAGAGCTGGTGATCGGGATGGTGACGGCTTTCCAGGCAGGATTACTGCTGCTCATGAACACCACCAGCAACATATGGCTGTGCTACACTGCCTACGTCCTCTTCCGCAGCTCCTACCAGTTCCTAGTGCCCATTGCCATGTGCGTGGTACCCATAGAGACCCACTTCCACCCCAGCAATGGGGCTGGTACTGGTGGTTCACTGGTGCTCCATCTCTTCCCCAGTTTCCAGATTGCTATGTCCCTCTCCAAGGAGCTCTGCGCGCTCGTTTTCGGGGTCAACACCTTCTTCGCCACGGTGCTGAAGACCATCATCACCATCATTGTGGCTGACAAGAGGGGCTTGGGCTTGTCCGTGCATCCCCAGGTAGGGATGGGGAAGCGTCTAGGATGGAGGTGGTACCTTAATGGTGTGGGATGAAGGTGGGGGCTGCAAGCGTGGTCCTCTCCACCCTTCCTCTCTTACAGTTCTATGTGTATTTTGGCTACTTCACGCTGCTGGCGGTGACCTACCTGCTGGCAGCTGTTGGTGTGGGCATCCGGTACAGCCGCCGCAAGCAGCCAGGAGAGCTGGCGTTGGCCAACGAACCATGCCAGGTCCCCGCAGAGGTGCCACCAGCACAGGAGCAGAGGCTGGATGCTGGTGCTTTGCGAGCTTGAGCGCTGGCACCGCAGCCACCGTGGTTGGGTCTTGGCCGCGTGAGCATAGACTGATGTCCCACCATTGATCCGTGGTGGACACAACCCCTTGGGACCTGTTTTTGGAAGGGCTGTGGTCCTCCCCGGCCACAAACATAAGCAGGATGCCCATGGCTGCCATCACTTGTGACCACACAGGGCTATATGGATGGGGTGCAGTGGTTCTCCTGGCCATCACCTCCCCATCATCGTGCAGAGCCAGCCTACGAGAGGATAACGTTTCTTTATTCAGTGCCTTTAGAAAATGGTTTATAGGACACAACTGACACAAAACCAAACCAATCCACAGGCTTTAAATTGCATTAATGACACAAAATACAGTAGACTGTAAGAAATAGAGACCGTGTGACTCATCACACAGCTTTTATGGTAAGAAGTCCCATACAATAACAAAAAAAAGCTAGTTACAAATGGATCTCGTCTTTTTGTTCTTTAGCACCTTAGGTTTGCCCACCCCCCTTTCAAAGCAGCTTTGCTGCACCTCAGCCCTTAGCGTGCAGCAAAGCTGGTGCTGGGGAAGGGGAGGGCGATGGCAGTGCCTGCCCTCAACACTACACCTGCATGTAAACACATGCTAAGGGCACGCCTGGCCCCACATTGGGGCCACCCCATTGACCCAGTCCCCCCCTGTGCTGGTGTGGGGTGTGTGGAGGGGATGGTGCCCCCCCGCATCTGCTGGCTGGGAGGTGTAGGTGAGGATGATGATGATGTGGGACTGGGTGGGATGGTCCTTGCCTTGGTAGGATGGAGACCATCTGTGGGGAGCCCTGGCACTGCCAAGGGATGGTCCCTTGCTTGGGTGGGATGCTGGGGTTTTGGCTGGAGAAGACTCCATGGCCTCAGCATCAGGGATGGGTGAAGAAGAACCCTTCTTCTTCTTGGGTCCAACCCCAAGCTCCTGGTGAAGACAGCATGGGGCTGGGGGGACGGTCAGAGAACCCCTGTAGGCTTTCCAGGAGGACACACCACATCCCCCTGGAAAGAGCATCTGAGCAGGCTGGGGGACACAAGCTAAAGTGGTTAAATATTAGGGTTAGAAGTGGAGCCAGAGGAGGAGGAAGGCAACCTGACCCCCTGCAAACCCCTGCCAACCGAGGGTGATGACGATGATGATGATGATCTCTTTGGTCTGTGGGAGAAGCAAACCCTGCGGGGCAAGGGCATGTGGGGCCTGAGGACCACGGGGGTGCCGGGCTGGCTGAACCTTCCCTGGGGAGATGCGGGGTACCCAGGGGACAGGAGGGTATCACTTTTTGGCAGCGGTCATGAAGCTGTTCTCGATGCAGAGCACGATGAAGGTGTGTTGGCAGCTGCTGGCCTTCTGCTCCAGCAGCTTCCCGGAGCCCAGGGAGGAAGCCTGCCCAGTGGCTGTGTTCTCCTCTGTCCTCCACGTCTCACAGTAGCTCTCGGGCAAGCGCCGGCCCTTGGCATCTGAGCCATGCCAGACGCTCTTCTGGGGCCTGCAAAGGAGGAAGGTGGGGAGCTGCTGCTGCCCCACACAGTCCAGACCCCATCTCCCCTCTTTTCCCCGGCACTCACCATCCTGCGTCCCTCAGGACATCCCGGCCATCGAAGGAGAGGATGCGGGAACTGGCTCGCAGCGGAGCCCCGCTGCCTGTGAAAAGGGCTTCCCAGTTAGTGAAGAGCACTTCATCCTGGTAGGGGGATGGAGAAAGAAGGGAGAAGGGGCATCATAGGAGCATCATCGGAGCTCTGCACAATCTTCATAGCATCCCAGCCTGGTTTGGGTTGGAAGGGACCTTAAAGCCCATCCAGCTCCAGCCCCGTGCCATGAGCAGGGACACCTTCCACTAGAGTATTTCCCATCCAACCTGAATGCTCACTGCCATGCAGATAGATGGGGGTGCATGGGGGGTGCTGTTGGGAAGGGGACGGAAGCACGCACGTACCTGGAGGTTGACAATGGGCACGGTGGCACGGTCAGCCCTGCGCACGATGCTGTAGAGGTCCTGCAGGCGGGAGGACAGGAAGGCGCGGAAGGTGCCGGTCAGCCCAACCTGCCGGGCTTGTTGGAAGCACTGGAAGTCAGCCCCGCGGATGCCACGCATGCCACCGCTCAGCGGCGTGTTGAGAGCCACCAGGTGAAGCTGCCAAGAGGGGAACACATTGAGGACATGGCTTCATCAACCAAGAGCATCGCATCGCCTCGCCTCCAGCAGCACTCACAGCAGGCTGGAAGTCCTGGTGCACATGGGCAGCCACCGGGGCCGGATCCGGGCGGCGATGGATGTAGTAGCTGTTGAGGAGCTCGTGCTGGTGATGGAGCAGGGGCTGCTCGGGCAGGCGGTGCTGGTTGGCCACCACCTCGTCCCCGCGCCAGGGTCGGGCGGTAGGAGGGGGACTGTGATTGTGGAGGGGATGCAGGGGACCACGGGGCTGCAAAGCGGGCTGAGGGCCGCTGTAGTGGATGCTGGGCAGCTTGTCGTACACCTCGTTGTCCTGGAGAGGGAGGGGACATGGGGTGAGGGTGGTGATGCCCCCGGTGGGGGTGAGGATGGAGATGCAGTTGGAGGTGGAGATGGTTGGAGATGGTTGGAGATGGAAATGGGAATGGCATGGGTATGGTTGGAGCTGGGGATGGAGATGATTGGAGATAGAGATGGTTGGGAATGAATGGAGATGAAGATGATAATGGCATGGGGATGTTTGGAGCTGGGGATGGAGATGGTTGGAGATACAGATGGATGGAGATGGAGATGGGAATGGCATGAGAATGGAGGTGGAGATGGTGGGGGATGGCTGGGGATGGAGATGGCTGGGGAATGGATGGAGGTGAGAATGGCATGGAGATGGCTGGGGATGGAGATGGCTAAGGACAGAAATGGGAATGGCATGGGGATGGTTGGGGGTGAGGATAGAGATGCAGGATGGAGGTGGAGATGGTGGGGGATGGATGGAGATGGCTGGGGATGGATGGAGATGGGAATGGCATGGAGATGGTTGGGGATGGAGATGGGAATGGCATGGGGATGGTTCAAGCTGAGGATGGTGATGGTTGGAGATGGGGCTGGAGATGGTTGTAAATGGAGACAGTCAGGGATGGGATGAGGATGGGGATGAAAAATGGAGCTGGAAGACAAGCACTCACCAGAGCCGAACTGGGCATCACGGTATGCTCCTCCAGCTGCAAGGCAGAAGCACATCAAATCCCAGCTGCCCACTTTCCTCCCCACCCCCCCCCCCACCATGGACACCCCCCCCCCCCCCATAGACCTCCCCAAACCCGCCTGCAGCGCCCTGTGCTAGTGCCACCCCAACGGGTCCCACCCCAGCTCACCAGGACACGGCGGATGCCACCACGCAGGCGCACGTAGAGCTCCTGCCGGTCACTGAGGAAGATGAGGCTGCCCTCGGGCAGGTCCTGCGCGGTGCTCAGCATCGCCTGGTAAGTTGGCAGGGTGTGGAGCTGCTGGCACAGAGCACAGTGGTGGTGGTGATGGGGATCAGGGCTCGGCCGATGGATGGCAACCACCTCCCTGCCCAGAGCTCCGCCTCACCCCCAATGACATCCCACTGCTGCCTGGTGGTCCAGGGGGTCCCGGTGGTCCAGGGGGTCCAGGGATGCTCATAGCTGGTGGGGGAAGAAGGGGAGATGGAGAAAGCTGCAGCATGGGTAGGGATGCTGGGGGTGCTATGGGGAAGGTACTCACCCTGTCTATGGGGACCAGGGAAGGACGGTGGGATGCTGGGGGTGCTATGGGGAAGGTACTCACCTTGTCTATGGGGACCAGGGAAGGACGGTGGACCAGGGGGGCCAGGAGGGCCAGGAGGGCCCTGCCGCCCCTCATAGCCAATTCCAGGGGGGCCCTGCGGTCCAGGAGGCCCTGGCAGGCCAACGATGCTGTCCCCTTTGGGACCCTAGGCAGTGCGGGAGAGCATCGCTGGAGCAAAGCACCCAGGGGCGCCTCTGCCCCCGCATGCCCCCATCATCCCTGCACCATGGGGTACTCACCGGCAGCCCGGGGTAGCCCTGGGGCCCTGGGGGTCCTGGCAGCCCGGAGAGGCTGGGGCTGTAGATGGGTGTGCTGCCCGGCTCGCCCTTCTCACCCTTGGGACCTGCATCCCCCTTGTCACCCTGCAGGACGGCACAGCCTTAGGGTGGGCATTTGGGGTGCAGCCAGTACTCATAGGTGGGCAAAGGGCTTACCCGCAGGTTGGCACCGAAGTGACTGGGGTCATAGGGGAAGTGGCCTGTGGAGAAGGGAGAAGGAAAGGATGGGCATGAGCCACCCCCTGCCCACCTCTGCCCTATGGGAACTGGTCACCTACCTGGGGGTCCTGGGGGTCCGGTATCACCCTTCTCTCCCTTTTGTCCTGGGAACTGGTGGAAACCTGCATAGAGCAGCAGAGATGTCATCCCATCATTCCATCTCTAATGGAGGTACCACCCTGCTGGGGGTACCAGGAGAGAGACACCCCCTTACCAGGGAAGGCTGGCAGCACGGGATGCCCAGAGTCACTGAAGGCCTGTGGGAATGCAAAGGAAGTGGCTGCAGCATCCTCAGTGTGATTCTGATCCAGCCCCACACTGGATGCCACTGGAGCATCCTCCATCCCATCCAGCCAGGCAAGGGGCACTGGGGGGGGACCTGGTGACCACCCCTCAGCATCCCCCCCATCACCATGCCCATGTTGTTACTCACATTGCTGCTGTCATACACTATGCTGCCAGGGGCCCCGGGGGGCCCTGGGGGCCCTGGGGGTCCTGGGGGACCCTGGTGGGGAGAGAAGCTGTGTCAGGGTCCTGCAAGATGGGCTCTCCCCATAGAGGGACACCAAAGGCCATCGAGGGGCAATCAGTCCCCGAGGAAGAGAGTCATTGGACTGGGGTCCATAGGGAGCCCCTCAGTGTGTGTACCCAGGGTGGGGGGCTCAGTGATGCTCACCCTCAAGCCCATCATGCCACTGACATCTGCAGGGTCCCCCTTCTCACCCTTCAACCCATTCATTCCAGGACGTCCCTGTTGGATGAGCAGCACAA